CCTGAAGCACAAGTGAGAACATAGCTCACATTGTGAGCCGGGTGCTGTGCTAAGTACCTTGCAAGTAACAGCTCACTCATCAACGGCCAGGTAGAACCACTTGACAAGCAAGCAAGCAAGGAAGCTACACGAATGCACCTCGCTTGACTCTGCCCCATACAGATGCTGTTTGTGATCCAGCTAAGCGCTGTTCCCAGTTTTGTGCATGGAAGAGAACAGAGCCACAGCCCCCAAGCAGAAACCAGTCAGAGCTGTGGTCAAGCTGAAAGTGCACTCCCAGAATCCAAAAGCCAACCTTCAACCCACAACAGCTAAAGTCTGGTGTTGCCCTGCTCATAAACTCAGAACCTACAGCCCTAATGTAGGGAAAAGGGGCGAGCCAAAGAAACACACCCTGAGCGGAGCCAAAGAAATGCACTTTGACCCTGCAACCAGAACCAAAGAAATGCACCCTGACCCTAAAACCAGGGCCAAAGAAACACTTTGTCCCTGTATTCAGAGCCAGTGAAAGAAATACACCCTGGTCCTAAAACTAGAGCCAAAAGGTTAAAAAGGACCAGTGAAAGAAGCACACTTTGGCCCTAACCCTGTGCAGACAACTAGCCAATCCCTGAGCAGGAGATTGAAATCTGACCAATCCCCACCCCTGGAAACACTTCCCCGCCCCCACGAATCCATATATAAACCTTGTGTCTGTTCAGCTTGTGGCTGTTCCTGCTTCCTGACTGTCCACTGTCACTGTTGCAGAGGGCAGCCACTCTCCTGGATCCTTCCCTCCCAATAAATCCCTTCGATGAGCTTCGGGTAAAGACCTTCTTTTGTGGTAGAGCAGAGACGATCCTGAGCAGAGCAAGCAGGGCTGTAACACTTCTGCCAGGGAAACCTTTCCCTGGCAGAGCAGAGTTGTTACACTCGGCTCTCCACTCTCCTGAGAGCGAGCAGAAGCAAAACTGCTGCTACACTGGGAAAACATCCCCAGCTGGAAGACCCTCTCCTGCTGGAGCAGAGCTGATACACTGGGGAAGCATTTCCCTGAAGCAGGCCTGTAAGCTGCTATGCTTACTGTGGGTTGTGGTATTTCTTGGCTCCCGAGCTCCAGGATACCTTCCGGTCTGAGTTGTGTAACACTCAGTATTCTGTGACTCCAGAGTGCCAGAATACCTGTCCCATCCGATCTGTTGAAATGCCTACACCTCCCAGACTAGAGAAGTGCAGGGGAGCAGTGTGGCTTCACAGAGCCTCAGGCTTATGGACTGAATGTTTGTTCCCCAACCCCACCCCAATTCCTACACTGGCACCGATCCTAGAGATAGCACGGAGTGGGGGGGGGGAATTGGGGGGATGGGATGGTTGAGACATGAAAACAAAGCCTCCTGTGTGAGACTAAGGACCCCAGTTTATTTCCAAAGGACGTAACAACTCAGGGAGCACTTTCACCCCCTTCTCTGTGTGTGGACCCAGAGAGAAGATGCCTTCCTAAACCTAGAATGGGGCCTCAGTAGAGAGGCCTGTCTCCTAGCACCTGGGCCTTGATCTTCCCAGAGCCAGGACCTATGAAAAAGAAATGCTTGCTGTTCAAGCCATCAGGTTGAATGGTCTGTGGCATTGTTTTGCCACCTGTGAACAGGGCTTCTGTGGTTCCTGCTCATGAGCTCTGCCTGTTCACCAGAAGAGTTCTCAGGAAGCTACTGAGGGCCAGGCCAGGGTAAGGTCCTGACAAGCCACCCCAGGGGATGTTAAATACCATTGTTCATGTTACCACCACAGCAACAGTGTAAGACACTGGGACACAGAATATTCTTGTCAAGGAAGCTTCGGAGTCAGTCTATCAGCAAGCAGTGGTTTCTCAACAGCCATCAAGCTTTAACACTGTGGATGCCCAGTAGTGGGAAAGGAAATGGCAGGACCAGCCTGGTCCTAACCCTCATAGACCTTGCACTCAGCAGGAAACAAAATAATCAGGGAAACAATAGAGAAATAAGGAACTTCGGGTTCCTGCAAGAGCTATGAAGACGCGAAAGTAGAAGAATGCTGGGAAAAACTGGAGTATGATACTGTCCAGCAGAGGCCTTCCCCGTGACCTAGGAAGTTTAGACTTATCGAAGAATCCTTATAAAGATGGGGCCGTTGCCAGAAAGTAGACTATGACAGGGACCCTCCTAAGATGAAGGCTTATGACATGCAAAGGCCCTGAGCTTATGGATTTGAAGTAGCTGATCTAGAGCTGAGAGGTGGGTGGAAGCCTAATCATACAGATTCCGGAAGGCTCCGGGTAAATCAGAACTATTCTCCTGAAAGGACATGACTGGATGAGAGTTTCAAAAGAAACCCAAGGGTACGGAAGTCTAACCACAGGGGTGAGAGCAAAGGCAGGAAGCCCCGTTGGAGGCCGTCACAGGAATCCAGGTGAGGGAAGTGTGGCTCGGACTGGGATAGACATAGCACAACAGTGAAAAGTGGCCTCATGTAGGAGGTGTTGAAGACCTAGAGGACAAGCATGTTGACAATGTAGACACAGAGTGTGACTGGCCAGGAGCAGGAACTAGTCACCAATCAGGATGAGCTCCCTGCTTGGTCCCAAACTGCTAAACACTATTGCTATTCCCCAGGATAGACAAAGGGGCAGTGGAGAAGAACAGGGGAATTTGGAGAACATTCAGGCTGAGACGTTTGTTAGACATTGGTGAAGCAAATGGACAGCAGGATATGATGGCCAAGGAGAGTTCTAGATCGGAAGTTCTGGCTTCAGATAAAAAACGTCGGGAATTCTTAAGCTATGGGAGCTGATAACACCACCCAGAGATACGGAATGGTCTGATAACGAGGGACCCAGGTCTTGAGCGCTCAGCAGTACAGATGAGGAACACCCACACTACACTCCCTGCTTGCAGATTCCCAGGACACACACTAAATGTCCCTGATATGTCCTGAAGCCAGAAAAACGTGCCTGTTACATCTTTCACTTAGGACCTCCCTCGTGTGTGTGCTCGTGGAAATCTTTTTCGATATGATATTGATTAACATTCCAGGCACCGAGCAGATCAAGCAGTCAAGGGAGTCCTTAGGAATGAGCGGAATCTGTGGGCCATTGGACGAGGAGGATATCTGGAGCAGAGGTCATCCGGCTTCTGTAGTAGCATGCCAGGGGGGAGAGTGGCCATAGGGTCTGTGTTACAACTTCTCACCTCTGCCTCCGTAGCACAAGAACCTCAGACAGTGTGTCACCTGCGCACAGCCGTGTTCCAGTAGCACTACAGGCCAGGTGTGGCCTGTGGTCCATAGATGTTGATATCACCTCGGATGCCCAAATAAGGAGACCCAAAGGAAGTAAAAGGCAGAAAGAGAAGTGATACCAAGGGCAAGGTGAGTGTCCAGCACCTGGAGGGGAGCCAGGAGCCAGCCAGAAGGAAGTATGCACTCTCCTTGAAGATGGCATGGGCCATCTCAACAACCTATGTGTCTTAGTTAGGGTTACTATTGCTGGGATGAAACACCGTGACCAAATCAGCTTGGGGAGGAAGGGGTTTCTTTGGCTTATACTTCCACATCATAGTCCACTGACGGAAGTCAGGATAGGAGGCGGGAGCTGATGCAAAGGCCATGGAGGGGTGCTGTCTGCTGACTTGCTCCCCAGAGCTTGCTCAGCCTGTTTTTTTTCGTAGAACTCAGGACCACCTGCCCGGAGATAGCACCACCCACAATGGGCTGGGCCCTCCCCCATCAATCACTAATTAAGAAAATGCCATACAGGCTTGTCTACAGCCTGATTCTTATGGAGGCATTTTCTCAACTGAGGTTCTCATCTTTCAGATGACCTCAGCTGTGTCAGTTGACATAAAACTAACTGGTACCCTAGGAGAATGGAGAAGCTTCCTGCTCTGGTTTCTATGTGAACTGGTCCCACAAGCTAATGTTTTGAATACCTGCTTCCCAACTGGTGGAGCTGGAAGGGGCCAGGCCTCTGGGGTGGAAACAGGTGACAAACAGGGGTGGGCCTCTGGAGGCTACGGCAGTCACTGCTTCCTGCTCCACCAGGATGTGAACAGCTGTGCTCCGCCCACAGGCTCCTACTCCTATGCTGCCCTCTGCTCCAATGTGTGAGTGAGGCAAAGCAAGAATAGACTGCAGACTGAGCCCACGAGTCAAGCAATCCTTCCTCCCTTACGCTGTCTCTGCCGGGCTCTGGTCAGAGGAAAATCCTGTTTCTGCAGATGGAGAGGCAAAGACTAAGCACGGCCCCTGGGGCCTCAACCCACACCTCCTGTGTCTCAGTCGGGGCTACTCAACCCACACCTCCTGTGTCTCAGTCGGGGCTACTCAACCCACACCTCCTGTGTCTCGGTTGGGGCTACTCTTGCTGTAATGAAACGCCACAGCCAAACCAACGTGGGCTGGAAAGAGTTCATTTGCCTTACACCTCGACATCACAGTTCATCATCAGATTAAGTCAGGGCAGGAACTCCACCAGGGCAGGAACCTGAAGGTAGGAGCGGACGCAGAAGCACCGTGGAGGGGTGCTGCTTACTGGCTTGCTTGCTCAGGCCGCTTTCTTATAGAACCCATGACCACCCACCATGGGCTGGGCTCTCCCCCATCAACCACTAATTAAGAAAATGCCCTCCAGCCTGATCTTATGGAGGCATTTTCTCAACTGAGGTTCGCTCCTTCAGATAAGTCTAGATTATGTCAAGTTGACGGAAAAGTAGCCACACAGCCTCATCCTGAGAGAGCTTGGTCTGCCTCACTCACTGCAAGGTCACCTACCCATGTTCTGGGTAGAATACAGGAAGATAGACCCGCAGCAGGCTCTGCATCCATCCGGGGGAGGGCTTTACCAACGACCACCCCCTACCACCTGCTCAGCCTAGGACGGAGACTACATGCCCTCCCCAGCCCCTGTCCCTCTGTCCCTGCCAGGCGAAAGGGGCACTCGGCCAAGAAACAGTTGATCAGAGAATTAACAAATGCCTGCACCTCTGGTGCCCACGACAGCAAAAAGATCCAAGAAGACACTGGTATTTATTTATCTCACGTTTTCTTTCAGATCTAGCGATGTGACAATAACACATGTCACTGTCGGCCCAGGCCCTGCTGGCAGGCAACACCTTGAAAACTATGCCGAGGTTCAGAAAATAAACAGCAGCCACTCTGATTCCAGTGATAAGACGCTGGTGTAAGGCGAGCCTCCTGGGATCCATAATCTAGAATCGTCAAGGGATTGGAATTGTCTGTCTTTTTGATAAAAGATGTCAGCTCCCCTTTTGGGTCTGAAACAGAAAGAAGCCTTCTGATTCTGACACCGCTTGTGTGTCATCAAGTCTGTCGAAAGAATCGTTCTTACGGTAAAAGTACTTCCTGTGTCCATCAATGTCCTTAAATTTTTTTTATCAGAAGAAAACTCAGTCAAATCAGAGCATAGGAAATACACAATCCAGAGCCCTTGTTCTGCCTGGAGAGGCTGCTCTGTGAAGACGTAAGTTTCTGGATTGCTACTTGATTCCAAAGGCCTTCAAAAACCACTCCACAATTGGCAACTATTATTTCTTTAAAAGACCCAGGACTAATAAGCCTCGAGAAAAATAGTTCTGCTGTTCGCGGTCTGTGGTTGCTGCATGGTTTGTTTTGCCTTGAAAAGTGCCGCAATTTCTTTTTTCTTCCTCAGCTGAAACTCAGCAAGGGAAAAAATAGCTCAATTAGGGATCATCAGCAGACTGCCTCACATAAGAAAGCCTGAAGAAATAAATATTTACTGAATGATCGTGTGAGTGACTGAATATTAAATAGCCACCAAGAGCCAAGGCAGATGATTCGATCCGAATGAAAAAGCCGCGTGACAGCAGAGACCCCTGACTCAGGTGTGTTGGGTTCCCACCCGGCTGGCCTCCAGGACACCAGGAGAGGTCTTCATTCACCCCATTCACACGATAAGCATGCATGGTGCGGTCAGTCTGGTCTGGGCTCCCCAGCGTGTGCTGAGGTGGCAGAGCAGGAAGCCACAGCCTCTTGTCACCTATTCAGTGGGAGAGAAGGAGAAGACAGAATCTGAGGACACAAACTCACCTCTGACTGAATACGAATAAAAGCCCCCCCTTTCCCGCCCCCCAGACCCATGGTTTGGATCACTGGTCCCCAGCTTATGGCACTGTTATTGGGGGAGGCTGTGAAAACTTCAAAAGGTGAGATCAGGCTGGAAGAAATACTAAGTGTGTAGGGGGTATATTATCTGTGGCAGCTTCCTGCCTCAGTATCTACTTCCTGTTTGGTTATGAAGTAAAGAACTGTCCTGTACCATATGTTCTCCCCACCATGACAACAGGCCCAAGCACACAGAATCAAGTGCCATGGAGAGGTGTCCCCAAGAGCCACAAACCCCAGGGTTTTGCATGGGAAATTCCCCCCAAACAATGTAAGCTAGTTCTATTGTCCTTGGCTAGTTCTATTGTCCTATTGCTGAAGACCACACACTTTGGACACAAGACTTGGAGGCATCAAGCTGGAACTAACATGGGAGACTCCTCCCTGAGGATTAGCTACCTGAGGGTTAGCCCTCATAGTATCCCAAACTGCCGAGGGAGAAAGTCAAACAGTCCTGTGCAGCTCTATCTGTGAATCACAATGACTGGCCTGGCAAGCTAGCTCCAATGGTATAAAAGTGATACCTTCCTCTCCGGTTAACTAATAGCTGTCCAATTGGACTTAAGGTCCGATCAATAGAAGGGGACCTATGTTTGGTAGTGCAAACATAGCCAAATAACCATAAGTAAAGCAGTCATAGACCCTAGAGGAGAAGCTACTACTTCTCTTTCCCAAACCAATGTAATTTCTAACTGCATTCTAAATACTTACCCTTATACCTACAGATAGCTGTAGCTCTCACCCATCATCAATGAAGCTTCTTTTTGCAGCAGATGGAGGCTATTACAGAGGTCTATAAGTGGCCAAACTGTGGAGAATGAGTTACAGCAGGGAGCCCAGCTCCAGTTGAAGCAACTGCAACGCACCGGGGAACACCGCGGGAAAGGGGGCGGAAAGACTGTGAAAGCCAGAGGACCAGGACACCTGCTGTTAGACGGTGTCTTCTGGGCATGACAGACAAGTTGTACCAATGAAGCCTCACAAGTATGCTTACGTCAAGAAAACTTGCATAATGACAACATCAGCTGACATGTCAATGTGCATGGAGGACATTTCACAAGATCCCAATCAGTGGCTGAAAGCGCGGGGGGGTCTTCTCCAGGGACCAGCTCCCTGATAGGTAATCCAAGCCCAAGTAGTCAGTCCTAAACAGATGTTAAGTATGACAACACTAAATGGACTCAGTAGGCTAAATATTTATACATAATTATTATGTATTACGTAATTAAAGAAGAGGTAGGCCACGAACTAGAGGAGGAGGATGTGGGCCATGGAAGGAGTTGGCGCATGGAGAAGTGATGTAACTACAGTACTTATGTATGAAATTTTAAGAAAAATGAAAATTTGGATTTAAAAGGAAGGGGACAGAGGTGACAGCGGGTACTGTATGTAGCTCAGAGGAGGGTGTTTGACTTGAGTTCAGTCCTCAGTACTGATGAAATAAACAAGCCAAATCAAAATGAAAACAAAAGACTTGTCTGGCAGAAGGCAGCCTGCTTCCCAGGCCCTGTATTTCTGGGAGTTGGCCTGCCCAAAGCAAGCCAACACTACAGACGTTCAACGTCTGCACGGTCACTCTGCCTCACACTGTAAAGGGAATTTGTCATCATGGGTGAAAGTAGATGACGGTCTCCAATCTATCTGGACTCATTTCCGGCAGCTGCTAACCTACATTAGGCCAGCATCCATCCATCTTGATGAGAAGCGATTGTATCAATTCAACCCGTGCGGGCATCCTACGCCATTTATTTATCTTAACAAGTTCATCAGCGCACACATGTTCTGGTGCGTCACCACCATGCTGTTTTTCTTTCGACGTCTGTGCTAATTGTATAAATATGCCCAGAGGTTTGCTGGGACTCCTAACGCAGCCTACCATTAGTGGCCTGCATAGGGTGTGTGCTGTGCTGTAGCTATTTCAAAGCAGGGCATGTTTCTCTTGAGGCTGGCAGTCTCCGGCCCCATGATATCCTGGTCCCATTTGGACGTGGAGATTGTTGAATCACCCCCGAAATCTAGAGATAGGAGAAAGGATTCTGTTTTCTCCAGAAAACGCCAAGTTTTATCCCCAAGCCCTTCTCTCCTGGGATTACGCTGTAGAGCAAATGGGCAAGCTCAGGGCTTAGTGCTTCTGCCAGGCTGTGCTCTGGCCAGTCAGCGGTGATTGATGGCAAGGTGGCGGGAGGCTGCTGGACTGGGGCCAGTCCCCGGGAACTGATGATAAATCTGGGGCCCATATCACAGGTGGTGGAGGAGAGGAGGGTGAACTGAAACCGATGTGACCAAGTTTTGTTCTGAAAGCATTAGTCTGGGGGATTTCCTGCTTTATTCTGCAGGCCTCTTCTCAGGTTTAAGCCCCCGGTCTCCTCGCATTCATGTCCATATCTCAACCTATAAGGGTCATTTTCATAAAAGAGGTGCCTTAGCCAAAAGACAGAGTGTTTTCGAAGGCTACAAATGTCTGTCCCTGATTGGCCCCACTTTTTACACGTTTTGTTTCAAGTTCTTGACATCTCCCCTTTATGTCATGGGTATACATGAGCAAACAAATAAGTAAGTAAATAAATGTGATAGTCCACTGTTTCTCTCATGGAACAAAAACAGACAGAGGAAGGACTCTTAATTTGGAGCTGGGATGGTGGGTTGAGAGAGCATGGAGCACCAGGGCTAGAGCGCCAAGGTCTGGGGCAGGAGCCTGAGAGCTCAGGCCACCGTCTTCAGCTCTCCTGACTCACCCCTCCCACCCCACCCAGACCCACTCAAGCCGCTGATCCACCTGTTGGCACAGCTGTGAAGCATCCTGATGTCACGTTCGTTCCTAATGTGTTTCCAGGGCTCGAGTTACGGGCTGTGCTGGGACCCTGCTGCACACCGGGAACAGCCACCTTCCACAAAGCCTTTGTGTCGCTGGTGGATTCGCATTTCCCGCGCTGACCACGAGACTCCTGGTCTAGTGCCAGGCTCCTAAGTCACCAGTCTCGCTAGTATATTCCAAAAGCCAGTGAGAAGTCCTCGGGCCCATGCCAACCCCCTCTCGCATGGCACCCACCCCACAAAGCACTTAGGATTATAACTTTATGCATACAGGAGACTGTCACCAGTATGTGAAGTATGTCACAGACCACACAGACCCCAGGTTTGTCCCAAAGGCCCCTTTTCATGAAACCTGTCATAATAGCATCCTGTAGCCACCCGCATCTGGCCCTAGTTCACTCCCTCAGGTCTCTCACGGACAAATGTATGTATAGCTAGATTTTTGCCAAGATGGTAGCACATGACTATGATCTAATCATTTGCAGGTTGAGGCAAGAGGAGGACAAATTACAGTCCCCCTGGCTACATAGTGAGTTCAAATCCTACTTGGGCCATATAACCAGATCCTTTCTCCGATGCCTTCTCCACCTTAGATTTGTATTTGAAAGGGGTGATGGACAATAATTAGCGTTTGAAATGACAATAATGGCATGAAGCTATCTTTCAAATCAGTGTATTTCCATGCAAAAGTTAAAACCATTTACCCCCTTTAGAAGGTAATTAAAATCCCAGTGATGTGAGGCAGGCAAAGGAGACCACACGGTGTACTGGTTGAGAGCATAACCCTGAACCCAAATCCTAGCTTTGGCTCTTACCAGCTGGGGTGGTGTAGCATAGAATACACTACACGGGGCTGAGCATCATGACTGGGGCACACCAGACCACTGGGATCCCCATCCCTTCTGGAACAATGGTTCCAAAAGCTGGGTCATATCTTGTTTCCCTAGTGAAAACTGCCTGCTCCCAAGCTGAGCCCCGCTGAGCTGTCTCCACTCAGTTTCTACAGCTTCTTCCGCTGCTGTCTGTCACTCTATGACCTGTACCCCAGCCACCTCCTTGGTTCATGCTTCTAAGCTTTTGCTTATGCTGTGCCCTCTGCCAAATGGTGCCTTTCTCTCTTCAGGCAAACCCCGATGTTTACAGGCTGGTCTGACTCAGTCCTCACTGGGTGCTATCACACATGTTTGTGATCCAGGCATTCTGTTGCCTGAGAGAGAAGAATCACGAGTTCAAAGCCAGCCAGGGCTATGTACCAAGACTGTCTGAAAACCAGTCAGTTTCCCACAAAAACATCTGAAGTGCTTGGACTCTTCAGGCAGGATGAGGGCTCTGAGACAGGACCTCACCAAGAGGTTTCCACAGAAACATTCAAAAAAGCTAAAACACTCTTCAATAAAGTCTGCATCCCTCCCCCTTGATTAATTAACAAAAGCTCATGCTAATAAACCAGAAGGGCTTAATTTACACCTTTATTTTGAAAAATTGAAGTCAAGTTGTTCCAGAACCCAGTTGTCTGGTGTTTGCACCATCTAAACTAGCAAGTACGTGCTTGCTCTGGACACTGAAAGAGAACAATATGCTCTTGGCTGATAACCCTGCAAAATTACATGTGAGCGCAACACAGTGCCGTTCCTGGCATGCTCCGGTAAACAGCGGGCTGGTGAGAGGCTCACACAGACTGAGCTCTGCTCTCTTCCTTGAGAAACTTTCAGTGCCTTGGTGGCCATTTTCGGTGGCCAGTGCCAGTTTTCTGCTCCTTTGTTTGCCAATCGCCCCACCTTGACCCGGCAGTTGCTTTGAACCCGGCTTTAAGGACCATTCCAAGATATTCAACCTCACTTGCAGTGGCGCCCTAAACCCCTGCATTTTCCGCAGAACCAGTGATTTCCACTTACAACTCACTTGAGCTCTGTTCCTGTGTTGTGAGGTGTTTGCATGGGATGCCTGTGTAGAGCTTGACTCTGGGCACCGAGCGCAAAGAGTGAATGGCCAGCATCTGCCACCCCCTCCCATAGCTCTGCCCACTGGCAGCACTGTAAGTGGACATTGTTATTTTGGGGT